GGTAACCTTGTCTAACAAGGCGAGGGAGACAGCACACCTGCCCTCCAGATGCAGCGAGCTCTTATCAAAGGTAACAACGTATGTAACAAATTTCCCCCCCCCCGCCAATTACAATGCTCAGAGAGAGTGGGTTTGGGAAATAAATTTAGAGAGAAGAGTGGCAGATGGGATAGATGGATTCAATTAAGACAAAGAACATCAAACAATTCCAGGGATGCCTCATTCTAATGGAATGTCATTTTCTCCTCATCGCCTCCAGGGAGCTCCCAACAACAGTCTAGGTAGGAAGTGGGGTGCACACACAGCACCTCGACCCCAGCAGGAGCTTAAGATCCTCAAATGAGAGCGCTAATATTACCTCTTCTCTTCTTTTCAGTAAGGAGGTAAAACAGCACATGCATCAGACTAAATGAATGCAGGCTGCATATTAGATGCACATCTCTCCAGAACCAGGTGTTATTCAAATTAAATAGGTATTTTCTACTGCCATCTCTGTGGAACTCATTTCTTTATTTGGTCTATAGAAGAGTCTCCTTTTTATTTAAATCAACCACTGTTATTTTTCTAAGAAAGATGATAAAACAATAAAAATATTTACACCCCTTTTATCTTCCCAAACATTAATCATGAAGGGAAGAAGGTATTATACCTTTGCTAGACAGTTTTATCACATAGACATTGTATTAATACACTTTAAATGACCGTTTTGCTGGTCAATTTATACCTATTAAGAATGTATAAAATTCTTGTTGCCACTAACAATATTTGTAACTCTTTATTACCAAAAGGAATTCAAGTCTGCAATAAATTTGCCATATGTATAGTTGAGATGTAAGTATTGATGTGTATATAATACTCTATATGCACCATGTTGACCCAAATGCTACTCCCGACTGACCTCAGTTTTCATCTAAAGTCAAGTGTAGAAGTCTAGTAGTCTGATGAGCAATGCTTCTGTCTTTCTCTGGCTCCCAGTGGTATAATTTTAATTGACAGCCATGTTCTCCAGTTACTAAGTCATAGGTGGGTTAGTCGGTGCAGACACTGGGCAAGGCTGAGGGTGGAAACCGCAATTCTACTGCAGAAGTCTAACTGCAGTAATGTGTACACGTTCTGATTATCAGCGAAACAGGCAATGTATCCAACGTCTATTTTGTAGAGATGCTAAACTACTTCTAGGTTCCAGCCCCTACTTCACTATGTTACAAACTAAAATGCTCCCAGCTAGAAGGGAATAATATTTAGGCTGTCATACCGGCTTCGGGGTGCTGTGTAGAAATAATCTCTACTTGAGAGACTTGGCTGGGGGCGGAAATTAATATTAAAATACTGGAGCACTGCCTTGTTTCTCTGAGACTGAGGTGACGTGACTCCTCGGGATGATAAGCCACCGTTGGTTTTTTGGGTGGTTTAAAATGGCTCCTGAGAGCAGAGAATTTTCTGGAAGCTTCCAACCACTGGGCTTTAGTCACTTCATCACTTTACTCTCCACACACCTCAAGGATGGCGGGGTTGTAAGGGCCCCAGTGTGACAGCACCACTATAAGTAAAGACTTGTTTCCAACAGTTTTATCTTGACCTTGTCATGGGTGAATTCTTTCCATAAAGTAGTGACTGAGTTTAAACAGCAAAAACCTTGAGTACCCAGAGGTAAAGGTAAATTATAAAACTCAGCATGTAGGAGATACTAGAGTCAACCGGTCCCACCAAGTTGGCAAGGATGACACACAATTCATAGGCTCAAATGAGGCTCAAATGAGGACCAAGGAACATTGCTCAGACGACGTTGCTTTGTTATCTAATCACTTTATATGCAAACCATTCTGTATTAGTTATGTATTCTTATGTAACCAGTTATTCCAAAATTTTCACAACTTAAAACAACAAACACTAATTATCTCATAGTTTAGGGGGGGTCAGGAATCCAGGCATGACTTAACTGGGTGCCTCTGCCCCAAGGTTTCTCACACACGTGGGCCAGGGCTGTGGTCTTGTCTCAAGGCTCCACTGGAGAAAAATATGTTTCCAAACTCATTCACATGGCTATTGAAAGGATTCAGCACCTCATGGGCTGTTGGACCAAGGGCTCAGTTCCTCACTGACTGTTGGCCAGAGGCCTCCCCCGGTTTCTTGCCACCTGTGCCTCTCCATAGGGCAGCTCACAAGATGGCAGGGGGGCTTCCAGTGAGAGCAAGAGTGAACAAGATAGAATCCACAGTCTTTTTGTGAACCAACCTCAGGAGTGACATCCCATTCGTTTTGCTATATTCTATTTGCTAGTGGCAAGTCCCTTGGTCCGGCCCACACTGAAGGGAGGGGATCACACAAGGGCATGAGTACCAGGATGTGGGAATCACTGGCATCATTTTAGAGGCTGCCTACCACATCTTCCCTTGCATGCACAATACAGAAATAGACACAAAAAAAGTGGAAGGAAAATCAGGAAGCAGGAGGGGAAGGGAAAATGTTCCAGGATCTAATTACCTAGGCCTCTGAGCTCTCTCTCCCCCCAAATCCAACCATACAACATACCTTCTGATGAGGCTCTCTTCACAGAGTCTTTCATACCTGCCCCCTCCTCTCCACCTGCACGGGACCACCAAAGTTCATTTGGCCTTCACTTCACACCATGAATACTGCAGCACTACTTCTAATCTGCTTCCATATCCAATAAGTCCTGGTCACCACAGCCTTTCTAAGTCACCCTTTCTACTAACCCTTATGCACCAGAAACCCCCTTTAGTGGCTCCCCACTGTCAAACAAAACCCAAACTCTTTAGGTTGCCCTTCAGTGCCTTCCATAATTTGACCCAGCCATGACTATACTTCCAAACCCCCAATGATAAACCACCATCCCAGGTAAACCACGTTCAACCCCCCAAACACACCACGTTTGTGCTCAGCTTGAAGCCTCCATTAATACCGTCAATCCCCTTCCCTTGGCAAGACCAGTCTTCACCTTACCATGATAAATCCTCCCCAATTTCTAAGGGGCAGAGCAAATCCTATCTTCTCTGTGATACATTTTCTGGTCATTCCAAACTACAGTTTAGTTCCTCTTATGATTAGGCACAGCTCTGAGAGACGCTACCATTCACTGCCTTGGCCAGTCACTGCGCACTTGTGTTGTTTTTCCAAGGAGTTGATAAATTTCACACCTTCCTTCTTCCATAGAGACCATCAGACTGCATCTCCACAAGGGGCTAGGTCTCGTTTGTCTTCCTCCGTGGAAGGCACTAGTCCATGACAGGCAATATTTGTTGAAAAGATGGATGGTTGGATGGATGGATGGATATTTGGAAGCAAATGTCAAGCACAGTGTCTAGCATATCCTAAGAGGTCAAAAAGCAATACATCTTTGTTAATACCACCAATTCTTAAAATGAGAGTTTTCCACTCACTGGCATCTCAGCCACTTAGTGGTTCCTATGTAGAAACGCTTCCAAAGACCACAGAGGCAAATCAAATTTGTCTGGGTCAAGCCCATTCCCACAAACATTACAACTAAAGACCAATCCATAGCTCCTCCTTCATTGCCCATCCTAACCCTGGCTTTGAGGTACAGGATGCCAAATGCAGAGGCATCAGATAGATGGCATAGCCAGGACAGAACTCAGTCAGTACGGAGCAACTTCAAATCAGTGTGCTTCAGCCACGGGGCAGAAACAAAAGTGGTAAGAACTAAAAGGGTACTGGGGGAAATGACAAATAGATCCATTGTGGGGGAGTGTCCATATATTTTCGGTAATTCCTAGGAAACAAAAGGATTCAAAGAGAGAAAACAAGAAAGGTATACCAGAAGACCTTCTAAGGCCTTTGTTGCCTACCCCTAGGGAGAGGAGGAGAAATCTCAATTAAAGCATCAAACATCCAAAATTCAGAGGAAATCCTATGCTTCCTTTCTAGCTGGCTAGAGCAGTCACGCCAGGAGTGAAAGCTTCCAGGAGTCAGATTCCTGGCCCTAGGTTGCAGGTGCTAATCCGAGCCACCCTCGAATCACGGATAGGGAGCGCTGGAAACTGCTCCAGGGGCTTGGCCCAGTAAGCAGCATCTTCCGTACGGTGAATGTGCTCTCCCGGAATCGTGATCCTGGGGCAAGGTCTGCGCAGTGGTTCTCGGAGAACCCGAGACACGCATCGCGCAGAGCATCTGGGGGCACCTCGGCCCTGAGTTTTGAGCTTTGCAATGTCCCGCAGCCTGACTGAGCTGGGTAGGCAACTGCCCTCGCCCCCAAACTCACCTGCTTTTTAGAACCACTTCCATCTACCCATGGGTTTCAGCTCCCAAAGGCATCCGCGGAATCCTCCACGGTCCCAAGGTCCACCGTGACAGGAAAGGAAGGGAGAAGGGAGTGGTGGCTGGGAGGAGAGGTCATCACCAGGGTCCCTCCCTGGCTTGGGATGCTCGTAGGGGTAAAGCCCTGCCGGGCTCCTCCGCACTGGACCGCGGCGGCGGGGGGGGGGGGGGG